TGACAATTTTTGTCCAGTCGTGTTTGACTCTAGGGGGCGATGCTCATCCCCATTTCCAAGCCATAGAGCCAGCATTTGTCTGAAGACATGGCCAGTGTGACTTAGACACGGTACACTGTTGCCTTCCCACCGAGGTGGTCCCTATTTATCTACTCGCATCTGCATGCTTTCGAACCACTAGGTTGGCGGGAGCTGGGACAAGCGACGGGAGCTCACTTCGTTGTGTGGATTCGATCTTACAGCTGAAGATCTACAGACCTTACAGCATAGAGACTTCTGCGGTTTAACCTGCAGTGCCACCGCATCCCTAAGACGTGGTGGCACTTTAAGAAGGATGCAGTCAAAGTGGAATAGGTTAAGAGGAGGGCAACAAAGATGATCAGGGAACTGAAAACCAAGCTCTATGAGGAAAGATTGAAAGAACTAGGCATGTTTAGCCTTGGGAAAAGAAGAATGAGGGGAGATATGATGGCACTTGAAAGCTAGTTATACAGAGGAGGGGCAGATCTGTTCTCAATCTTCCCAGAGTACTGGGCACATAATAATGGTCTCAAGTTATAGGAAGCCAGATTTCAGTTGAATATCAGGAAAAATATCATAACTGCTCTTGTAATACAACAATGGAACCAATTATCTCCTGAGATGGTGAGCTGGAGGTATTAAATAGAAAAATAGACAAACATATGTCAGATATACTTTGGATTCTTGCATTGAGCAGGAAGTTGGACTCCATGGCCTTATAGACACCTTCCAACATTATTATATAATTCTATAAAAGTGACATATGCACTTCATAGATTCATGAATACATACATGAATATAAAACCACACTCTATGTTGATGTCCCTGCTCTGAAGATTTCCCTGTCTTTGTACTCTGTTCTTTAAGGATTCTATTCCCCCTCAACAAAATAGTGAAATAATGAATGTATTTGAAGGACAGAATCAGTTCCTATACTTAATTGTGCTCGTATTCTATGTGTAATTGTACATAAGGATGTTGCAGGCTTTTGTGATTGAATACATCCTACAATAATGCATCCATGGCCTTGGATACATAAGTTTCAAATGGGATATTCCTTGCAGTTCTACCTTCTAAACATTTGTTTCCAGATGTATAGTGTGAGAAAGTTGTACTGTCAGTCTCTGCTCAGAGAGGCTCATCAAAACTGCATACCTCAAAAAGAGGTTAGGAGATACAGCAGGGATCATGCTAAAGCTGCACTTTGATTTTACAAAGCTTGTATTTTATGTTTCAAAAGCTGCACAATTTGAGACTGAAATGATATTTGATTTTCTGGGTGATTAGGAGGGGAAAAACACATAGCATCCAACCTTCTATTGCTTTTTAAAAGGAGGGATATTGCTTTATTCTTGAGACATTTTGTTATCACTGTTGCCACAGTTCACAATATGCTTTGAATTAAAGAACTATGTTTAATTAGAAATCTACATAACAGATCTGCTCTTTGAAAGTATGCAAAAGCTTTGAAGAAAAAGCTAATTTGTCTAAAAGGCAAATCAAAAGACCAGGTTTATTTTGATAAGATTTCCATGGTTGTGATCCATGTTTCTAGGAGCAGTGGGTGTTAAAAACTATCTTTAAAAACATATCCTTTTGGCATCAGCTGCACCAGGGCCACACCATTTCATTTACATTGTAGTGTGATGCTATCTTTCTAGGTAATATCACTCTCAGATTTTCCTCTTTAAGAAAGAAATGAATTTGACAATTTAGAAATTAAGAAAAATATTGGGATTAGTCTTAGAAAAATGACTGGGATTTCAATCTGTTTTAGATTTAATTGCTGTATTTTTCAGACACAGAGTTAATTGCTGTATTTTTCAGAGTATTAAAAGCTGCTGTCTCTCTGCTCTTCCTGTCAGTATAAAATATTCACTCTGGCCTTTACATTTTTTCCTACAATTTATGGGCATAAAAACCTCTTTGAATGGGTTTGCCATGAAAAAAATTAGCAATCAGGGGATATTAACAAGTGATGCTGCCCACCTGTATGATCCCAGTTATATCCCAGACAAAATGACCTTGGTAGGTTAGGATGTTACAATTAAATTATCAAGATATCTGGGGATGACCAAGCTTGCATACTCTTCTTTCTTTGATTTTATAACCCATATTTCATGGAACTGTAGGACATAGGATTTTGGCCCACGAACTGACAGATCCAAACTGTGAGGTTGGAGGCATTATTTTCTGGGCTACAATTCCCAGAATCTGCTGGTCAATACAACCATGCTGGCTGAGGGAATCTGGACATTGTAGACCAAAAAGTGATGTTACCAAGATTTGTCCAAATAATAATAAAATGCAATACTCTAAATAGAACAAAGAATATCTCTCTGCATTTTATGAGGATTAACATTCAGCCTCAACCAAAATCTATCCACCAAAGGCAGGTAAAACTGCTGAGAAGTCTGCATTGCAGCAGCTAAATTAGATTGTCAGAAAAGCTGAAGTAGATTTTCGGAAGAGGGTATGTTGTCTGGTTCTGACTGGTATTAGAAAGAATTCTGCAGTTTATGATAGTAATGTAACTTACACAACAATTTGTGCCCAATAGATTAAATGCCTGAAAAAAAAGCTTATACACATTAAGGTCACTAATTATGCATCTTTACACACTTTGAACACTTTCAAAGGCCTTTTTCAGAGTGCCCTTCAATCAGATATGAGACAGGTGATGACTTGGGAAAGGACATTTCTTATTCCAGTGGTTCATTCATGGAATGCTTTCTTTGGGAAGAATCATCTTAGTTAACAGCTCTTGTTTATCAGTTTTATGAATGAATGATTGCTGCTTCTTATGTTACAGGTCACCCAAGTCATATTTTGATTTTTTTTTTGCCCCTATTTACTTTTAAGGGTTCAATATAAGTACAGTAATTCACATCCAATTTGATATGGCATCAATTCCATTTGCATTGAACAAACTTTATAAATCCAGCCTCTGGGAATAATTAATTTTGACTTTGAAAACCATCTGCCTCAGCATTCTGCCACTCAACTACCATCTCATTTTTTATATAACTGCAACAGGAAGGGCTGCCACTGTACCACCACCTCCAGGGAATGCAGGTGTGGAAGCAAGAGAAAAGGGCAGTTGGTCCTCACTCTGTCCAGTTATCTATTCTGTCTCTAGCAAAGTGTGAAAAGTTTGATGTGTTGGATTTTAACACCCAGAATCTCTCAATTAACATGTTCAATCTGTAACAGAGATAGCAAAATTTACTTTTTGGACTGCAAGTCCCAGAATTGCTTAACCTCAGGGGTGGGGTGGGAGTGGGGAATAACATTCTGCATCTCTACTTGTAGTTAAGCTTTGTAACCATTCTGGATCTATGAATAACTTTTTACAACTCTCGTTTCAAAGTACGTAGTCAAGTGCAGCTCTATAACCATGCCGTAGAAGACAGAATAGTCAGTGAGAGTGGCATTCTCTTATTTGTTCACCTTCACTCTCCTTCTCTCTTCATGGTGTAGTTGCTGAGGAAAGGGGAAGATTAAGCTCAATACTCCCCACTATCTTTTCCAGCCTGAATGGGGGCACTGCCTTGCTCATTCTAAACAGCTCTTCTAGACCCATTCCTCCCTCCATGCCTAACTTTAAGTATAATCTAATGACCTCTTATTTGGCATTGGTCTCTTTCTGTGGTCTAGGTAGCAAGGAGGACCGGGTCCCAACCTCCTGCAACATTACCTAAGGGGTGCAAGCAAGCTTTCAACTGCTGCCCCATTCCTTCCTTCTTTTTATATCTAGCAGGAAATAACTGCCAAGCAATGGTTATCTGGATATGCCTCTGCTGCTTCTGAGGATCTTGCAGCTGTCCCTTCTTTTTTGGTTCCTCATTTCTCTATACTAGGCTGACCACTGTGAATGGTAAAGCAGAAGCTGAAGCAGTGAGTCCCCTGACTTGCTTATGCCTTTGTGACCAGGAAACTGGGCCCATCCCCACTCAAAAGTGCAGGCACCAGGACGAAAAGGTTGTCACTTTCATATAAGGACTGTCTGTGCTTCTTTGCACAGTTCTGATTTTGGGCCTTAGGGCTAACTGTGCCACCTGAGGGAGAGAAAAAAAGGCAGAAATTATAGGCAAGCCAGGGGACAGAGGCAGCTGCTACCGCCACTTGGGCACTGCTCCGTGGCCCCAATGCTCACTTTTCTACTTCCTTTAAGAGAAACCCCGGTGGTGTGGGAGTGGGGCCAGCGGGCTTTCCTCCCCATTCCTCAGCGCAGTGGTTCGGACAGAAGGAAAGGGTGGCTGCGGGTCGTAGGTGTTCGGTGCCCGCGGGACTGTGGGCAGTTGCTTCATGGTCCTATCGTTATTTGTTACGATTTATTTATTTATTTATATGTCGTCTCAGTCGTACGTGTTCGGCGCCCGCGGGACTGTGGGCAGTTGCTTCATGGTCCTATCGTTATTTGTTACGACTTATTTGTATGTCGCCTTTCCCCTCATAGAGGACCCAATGTCGTATTATTCAATGTCGCCGCCCCCTCTGCAAGTCCCCCTTTTTTTGTCAGAGGCATTCTGTGGAACATTATGCTGAGTGGGACGGGAGAAGAAGGGAGGGGCACGGAGGCACGTCGCCGGTGACCTATAAGTATAACTTGGGGCCGGCAGCCTCTCTCTGGATTTCTCCTCTTGAGAGGAACGCCAAAGGTATCCTGATGTGGCGCTGCAATGCCGTCGATTCCCAAGAAGCGCACCGGCTCGCTCCCTAAAAAGCCTTTTCACTCTCCTCCTGAGCCACGCGTGGCCGGGAGGGGGGCTAAAAAAAGAAGCGGCCCGCTCTCTCGCGAGCCGGCCAAGGAAAGGCACGCGGCTCGCGC